ATGTATGTGGCCTAGCGTTGACCTGGTGGAACACGACACAATCTCCAGTTGGACAATTCTGACCATTTATGGTCAATTGCTATCTTCAAACGATCCAGTTTTTGACAGTAGAGATCAGAATTTAGCGTTTGACCATATTGAGGCAACTCATAATAAATAATCCCCTTCCAGTTCCACAAAATGCAAATGAAGAACCTTCCTGTCTGTTAGTCCTGATTTGGCAACCGTTTGAGGTGTTTCACTGCTCTTTGACAACGATCGTTTTCACACAGGGTTATTGTAAGTAGACCATTTCTCATCTGCAGCCACCATTCTTTTAAGAAATGGGTCTATATATCATATCATAAATTCGATCCATCCTATTTTCTCTGTTAATGGGTCTGACACACAAATATCGGGCTTATTTTTGAATCCAGCTTTATGTAAATGGTTAAAACAGTTTCATGGTTTATTTTTAGCTCCTGGGCGATGTTACGACTGCTAATATGCCGGTAAACTTCGATCATTTCTCCGATTTTATTGGCATTTTCATAATTGATATAATTTTTCCAACCTAATATTTGAACAAATTCACTGTAAAAACAATGCCGTTCAAAAATACCAAGCCTTGTTCAAAGATGCTCCCTTGGGGGCAGTTTTAACATATTGGCTTGGTCCTGTAAAAGAGTAATAAAATATTTAATTCGAACTTAACCCTTTGAGCCCCGAAATTTTTTCCGCAATCTTAGAACAAATTTCTGTTCACAGATTAAATGGACCTATCCTTAAGAGGATATCGCTACATGATTGCATTCGGGAGATACAGCACGTTTTTTCGGAAAAATTAAAGTAATTAAAATTAAAATTATTAAATAGAAGCTCTAAAACGTTTTGTTGCCTGTGGACAACATTGGGCCACAAAGGGTTAACATTACATTCTGTTGTTACATTTACACCTATTAGTTAAAATTTATAAAAACCCAAAAATTAAAATGAGGCTTGAAAAATTGTATGAGGCTTGAAAGGAAATGTGTTCGCACCATTGTTTGTGTAGGGTATCATATGGTTTTCGCTATGCGACTTTATTCCTCCGCTCACAGGTTTTTTTTTAAGTTGTTATATTTTCTATTTTTGCAATTGTTCTGATTGAAAAATATAAAATAACCCCATCTGGGCAAACAAACCAATTTCTCCAAAATATTTCATTTCCCATGACATATTTGATAAAAGATGTTACCACAGACACGCAATTTTAAAATTCTTCACTCTTTTACCTGTCGAAATTGTCAACTTCAATTTAGATAAAAGACATGATTTGAAATGTTTTTTCTCTCTCTCGGTACTCACGTACATCTCATAAGAGTCCTAAAAATAGTCGCACACACAAAAATTGTTGATCAATTTTTGATTACCTTCACTAACACAAATCATAACACTATGCCAATTGCTAAGCGAGTTAGAAAACTCTGCAGGTGGGTGGTTGGAGGTAGGTGGTGATGGTTTCAAAAAGAGAGACATTACCGATTGGATGCAAACACAAAAATAAACACATATCTATGTACATAAATCCACAATCACATCTGAAAGCCATAAACAAAAACGTAAACATAGCCACAAAAACCCCAAATGCCAATATTTATTTATTCAACACTAATACACCGATATATCCATGACGCACATATACACACACGAGCACACACCTACACATTTACATTTGAAACCGTCACAACGGCACAGAGTCACAGGCACGTAAACCAAAAACCATAGATTTACTTACAGAAACTCACGTTCCATAGTCTCGAGCACGAATGCCCACACTCACACATACACCCGCATTTATAAACTTTTCCATAAAGCGTCGTTTGTCGATACCGATGCTGCTGCTCTTGTTGTTGTTGTGGTTGTAATTTTTTTTTCTCCCACTCCTCTGCGTGGTTTTTACAAAAATTAATTTTATGCTGAATAAAATATTGGAAATATCTTAAATTGTGATTTCCGTGAAATAGGATTGTTGGCTGGCAATGTTGTAGTTGTTGTTGTTGCTGTTATTTTTGCAATTTGCATATGACTTGTTCTTCGTGCATGGCAGACTGGAAAAAGTTAATTTTGATTTCAAAAGGTCGTTTGGTTTCTTTGGTTCGTTCGCTATTCGTTTTGTGTGTGTGTGTTTTCCATTTCCATTATTTGCGGTAAATCAAATTGGATTGAGTTCGTTTTTCTTTTTTTTTTTTGCAAATGTTCAACGTGATCAAAGGCATTTTTCTTGAACACTGACATTGAACTCTGAACCGTAAAGGAACAACAAATGGCTGATTTGTTCACCAATGAAAAAAAACACCGAAAACATGACTTGATGTGCTTCACTTAAAATGTGAAAACACAAATAATTAATGAATGTACATATCTGTGTGTGCGGGTTTCTGTGTGTGTGTGCTTGTTTGTTATTTACTATGGATTTTCTTGTTCGATGGCTTCGGAATGCGTCTGAATCAGATCAAAGAACATGTTATTATTTGTATTGACACAAACAACATCATCTTCATTAATTTTTAATTCGGTGATTAATTTTCTAGTTTTTGTAGACATAATGAAGACATTTGATTATCAAAATATATGTGGGAGGTGTGGGAGATGATAGTACGAAAAGTTGTCCATGATAGCAGTTTAAATTATTTAGTTGCATTAGTGATAAAATATTTCACTGCAATATGACTCTAATCTAATACCAAACGATGACTCTAATACCCTGTGATTTGTTGTTACACCTGAGTTGTATATTAGAAATCGGATTTACCATGTTACAGAAATTGTACAAAACCCTTAAAATACAAAACAGGCGAGTGAAAATCGTTCCTAAATCCCCAAAATACTGAGTGTGCCGTTATAAGGGATCCCAAACATCCTAGGAGTAGTAGTAATGGAGTTGCCTATATAGTTTATGTGATCTTTGAGGGTGTTACATCCGGATGCAAGGAGGTTTCCAAACCCACTGGATAGTAAAATACTAAATGAATCAAAGACAATTAAATAGTCCTCGTCTTATAAATAGTCCTCGTCTTATGAATCAAACAACATTACTTGTGAAGATTATTACACTGTGCGACAAATTAAAATTATTTTGATAATTACCGGGAAATTCCAACAGATTATGAAAGGCGGCGCAATATTCCCCCTTTTCAAGAATTTTGATAATTTTCGAATTATGATTTCTTGAAATCCTTGCATTTTAGGTACATAGTGTCTTCGGCAATATTACTGATAAAATATCGAGGAATATTTTGGCGAACATTTCTGTAGAATATTCTAAGCAGCTTTAACCCCGTTTTGAATGAGTTTTCAATCACTTTTGGAAAAGGGAACCGAAAAGACCCCTTCAATGAGTCGGTTGAGGGTTAAAGTTGTATACCAAAATATTCCTAGATATTTTATCAGTAATATTGCCGAAGACACTATGTACCTAAAATGCAAGGAATGCAGCTGTTAACTATTTTGATATAAAAAGGGGGTTATATGTGGACTACCCCCAAAAGGAGGCGAATAAAAATCATTTTTGATAGGGAGATTTTTTACCACATAAGACAACAAAATACGGCATTACAGCAATACGGCATTGAAAGACAAGCTCAAAGGTACCCAATGAGAACCTAATGTATAAAATTTCAGTGAAATCGGTTCAAACCCCAAAATATCGAAATTGGGGGTGCCCTTATATAGGGGTTATACCTAAACGTGGACCGATATAGCCCATCTTCGAACCAAGTTACAGCCAAATCGGTTGAGAAACGAGTCCAAATTCCCCAAAATAAAGAATATAATCATTTTTGGTACGAAGATGTGTTATACAATGAGAACCCAAAATACCAAAGTACAGCGAAATAGGTTGAGGAACGTATCCAAATTCCCCAAAATAACGAATATTGGAAGGGCTATCCTGAAGCTTGGCCCAATATTAATAATTTCTGGTACGAATATGTGTTATACAATTAGAACCCAAAGTACAATGACAGATAATTCGGTCGAAAAACGTGTCCAAAATCCCAAAAACGCCGAATATAGGAAGCTACACCAAAACGTGGACCGATATATCCCATTTGAATAAAGTACTAGCTATGTCTGTGCAAAATTACAGCGTTATATCTTAAATATTGTGTTTTGTATCGTGATTTCAACAGACGGACAAACAGGCGGACACGCATAAATCGACATAAAATTTTATTCTGACCAAGAATATATATACTTTGTGGGGTCTCATATAGTAGTACTGTTCTACATTGATATTTTCCATACTGCCTTTATTTTACGATCTTTTGCATATTTTCTGAACTTTTGTGATACTTGACAATTAGTCATAATAAATACATCCCCATTTTACTAAAATTACCACAAGTTCATGTCATTTCCCATTTAAAAATCACATTAAAGAACAAATTTACCACCATAGTCATAAATCACTACTAGAGTTTTGGAAAAAGTGCCCCCTAGTATTGGAAATGTAATCCACAAAGTTAGAACTTTATCGATATGCTGATATACATATATCACAAAGCTTTATAACTTTGTTAGACCAGGACTATCGTTTTGAAATATGATAAATCTTTATGTAAATCCTCTTTAAACTAGTCTATGGCTAAAAGCATAGTTTCAGTCATCCTTTACAACAACTAAAAAAGATGAAGAACGCAAAATGACAGCCATAGCAAGAACAAGTACTACAACAGCAACAACATGCCAACCAGTCAAACAAGCAAGCTTCTACCTGCCACTTGTGCCGGTAGCAACACCACAAAAGTGCATCATGCAATAAAGTCCTTAACTAACGTCCTTAGTGAGATGATGCTATCGTTGGTGCACTTTTAGTTGTTGTCGTTTAGGCAAATCATAGCATTTAACGTGAGGCGATAACATCTCCATCAACATCAACATTTCGCTGCTTTTTTGTTTTTGTTCTGTTCTCCACTCGTCCTTTACTTCTATTTTCGCTGTTTTTCTGATGTCGTTTTTTTTCTTTCTGTCCATTGTAGGCCTTGCGTAGTCGTGCCCGTAAACAGCGTGCGGCACGAAAGCCTCATCTTTCCGAACTGACGGGCGGAAGTGTCATTGAGAATATTGCACAGACACGGAGATTAGCGGAAACTGCGCTGGATAGCAGTCGACAGGGTGTACGGATAATGCCAGATGAACCGGCAACGAATACAGGATCTGGGTCAAATGAGGAGGAGGATGAAAATGCCATATCACCAGACATTGATGATTGCCATGTAATTGTCAACGATAAATCCACCGAATTTATGCTGGCCACTGTGGTGGAGGAGACGGGCAAGTAAGTTGAGATTGTGGGTGTGTGTGTACGTAAAAACTTTGTATGATTCGATGTCCTGTTCTTATAATGCCCATCTAATGATGTGTCTGTGTGTATGTGTATCTCTTTGTTTGTATAGAATTAATGAGGGATATATTTTGAATCCTGGATAAATAGAGAATGGTTATTTAAGTTTTGTTCTTTTTGTTTTGTTTCGTTCTTTCTTTCATTTCTACTTTTATGCCTTGCCCTTCTTGCTTCGGACTCTGCCTATTTATGGATTTTTGTGGCATATCGCAAACTGTTGTGGTAATTCTTTTCCATGTGTCCCTTTTGCAAATGGAGGTGCAGTGTGGTGGCCCAAATTACAACCCAGCCGCATCTTATGGTAGCGGATTCAAATGGTAATCATGATTCTGGTTATGCACCATCAAACGTTGACGATGTCCTTACAGGAATTGCTGAAGACTCATCACCACCTGACAGTCCGGTAGCCAGTGGGACGACACTGCAACGTTCGGCTATTAGCAGTAGGCGTAATACGGGCGATGTATCACCAAAACGGGAACATGCCTTAAGGTAAGCCCATAATGAACAAAAAAACTCGTATCGTAAAAAAATATATATTTCTTAAGGGGACCCCCCCATTCTCGGAGTCAAATTTTTTTTGATTTAATTCGATTCTACACTAATTCAAGAATGTCTCCACAATATTTCAAGTGAAAATCTCAAGAACTCTTGAAGATATATCCGATTTATTTTTCTCTTTTCGAATGGCGGGCACGATAACTCAAAAACTAATAACCCAATCGATTTCAAATTTTTACACGTTTCTCTGTGGGTGTATAGATATCGTATGAACTAGGATAAAGCCAATCGGTGAAGATCTTCCTTATTTTTTAACTTGGTTTTTAGTCAAAAATCGGCGATTTTCCAAAAATATTTTTTCAAAGGTCCGCCATTTTCTTAATTTTAGAGCGAAGTCAATAAGCCTAGTTCATACGAGAGCCAGACATGTACTCTTTCTAACACCGTTGGAATTTTCGGATTCCGATGTTCCAGTTAGGAGTTATCATGCCCGCCATCAAAAATGAGAACTTTTCTTTAATTACAAAAAACAACAACAAAGCAATAACAAAATTTTTTTGTAAATTATTTTTCTTCTCTTTTAAATCTTCAAATATATATGTTCAAAGTTACAAGCTTTAACAAGCATTGGTATTGATTTACCAGCCCATTGAAAATCTTGAAAAATTAAAATCGAGAATGGGTGGGGTTCCCTTAATTTTATTTATGCGTGGGAAACATTTTTTAGTTATAGTCCGTAATATGCCATTGAGCTGTAGGCAAAATTTATCCGTGCTTAAGGAGCATACATGTGTTGGCATTAAGAATATTTAAATGTTTGAAACACAATAATTATTTATACAGACTCGTTGAGGGCTGAACAAAAGTTTTACTCTAAGAAAATAATAATAATAGAAATATCAGTTTCCAGGGATTGTTTCTCAAAATGAATGGAAAAATGTTTGATATTTTCGTGAGGATTGAACTATTGTGGTGGAAATTTATTTTTATACCCTACACAACTATGTTGTAAGGGTGTGGCCTCCAATCGTGCATGTACGTTCGGTTCAAAAAATACCCTATTGTTTCTGGTAATGATCGGTTAATATTTAGGAGATGAAATGGACCAAATACTTATTTTTTTCTGACCGTTTTAGAGGCTAAAATTATAACCCGAGGAAATGTATATAGCCTCTAACCCGAATAACCCGAATATAAATCAAGAATGTTACACGAAGAAAGGGATCTGACTAAGAAACAATCGGTATTGATCAGATGGTATATAGAGGATAAAATAGGTTTTCTAATCAGGTTTTCTAATCTATCTAAAGCACATAATTATAAGATCCGCAAAAAGATAAACTCGTGGTAATTGTGTGGGGTCGCTCAATGAAATTCCCCGGAAATTCGATATGCGGCTTTGATGGCAAAATTCGGTTAAAAACATAATAATACCGAAAATAGGGGGTATTTTTATACTTTCAGGGTAATATATCTTTGCATATGTTTGTAAAATGCCAAAGCCTCATAATATGGCCGATTGACACAACATTTTACACAACGTACTTAAGTTAGCACATCCTAACGTGTGCCACATTTTGTTCAAATCGGTTCAGATTTAGATACAGCTCCCATATATAGTTTCGTCCGATTTTCAATTAATGGTGCACCAAAAACCCACAGATAGGACGGTTGCTACAACATTATGCACAACGTACGGAAGTAGGTAAAGTTTTCTTAAGTTTTTTAGGTTTATATATAGCTACCATGTATCGTTTCATCCATTTTTAAGCAAAATTTTGCACAAAGTACTGAAACTAATATAGCCTAGCGTGTGGAGGGTTTCTTTAAAATCGGTTCTGATTTAGATAAAGCTTCATATATATTTTGGTCCGACATTATGTCAATAATGAAGCAAAGACCCAACATATGAAGTAAGTATAGCCTAAAGTGCGGAAAGTTTCGTTCAGATTTAGTTATAGCTCACATACATATTTTCGTTTGAAGTTTGTCAGAAATTTTGCAAACGTACAAAATTGAGCATAGAATGACGTAGTTGCGTTTTGTAGAAATGCACACATAGCACGTATATATTTTCGACCGACTTCATGTTAATTAGGCTCCAAATAATTAAGGTTTGTCCGATTTGCTTTAAATCGATTCACATTATGTTGTCCAATTGTAAACAAAAGACTCTATATTTGTCGAAATGAAAAATTTAGTATGTTCACCGACTTTACTAATTTCCTTACTGGTTATGTGGGACTATATCAAAGCTTCTACCTATATAGACAATGTCATATTAGCCTTAGAAGGCTATGTCAAAACATGGACCCATGTTGACCATTTTCATGAAGACTTTAAAATACCGAAAATGGGTCGGTATCGTTATTGAGAGCTATACCAAAAAGAAATCCACGCACCATGAGAACATAAGTAGTAGATTAAAAAATTCTGAATGTTGTGGGGTACTGTTAAAATTCTGAATGTTATGGGGTACTGTTATACGAGAGGTATGATCGATATATCTAATTTTCAATATTAAACATTTTAGGAGTAGCAGAAACGTATGTGAAAAATTAGGTGAATATGTCGAGGTGCCGCAAACGGAATGACAACTTTAATATACACACAATCTTTGTGAAGAGTTTAAGAGTGGTTCGGTAGTGGCTTTAGAAAGTTTTTTTACCCTTGAAGAAAACTGCATATCAAACTTTAGGTATATAGATCTAAAGAGTTTCTTTTGTGTGTAGGCTAAGTCAAAACCATGGAACCTACTACTCTACTCTAATTTATGGCGACTCCCCAGCCCTGATTCACGGACAATTTTCCTTTAAATGGAACTTTTTAAATTCTTTTCCTTTTCATTAAATCCTTAACAAGAAATTTTTTACTTGTTCCTTCGTTTGTTCTGGAATGACCTTGGTAGCTTCTAACCACAAGTACAAAAAAATAATTAAATTACAATTTCATTATTTCGTCCACAACCGCATACAAAGCCATACACCCACAAAAATATCTACAAGTTAGAAATAATAGAAGAAACGAAACCCGGAACCCTAAAAACAATTTAAATTATTTCTTTATAATTATTTACACAGTCAGAGCATCTTTAACTCAGTTCTATTCTTAGTTATGCTAAGCTCCCCTTGAACATTATTTACTGTGAGTTAAGTAAGTGTGTTTGTTTTGTTTGCCATTTTAAATAACAAACATTGTCTTCTTATTTATGTAAATTATTTACAATTCAGTGGAGTTAATGTAAATTACATTTGCATTTGTTCCACGGCAATAATTTATTCATTTATTGAACTTCAGAGTTAATTAGAATATAGTTTGGGTGGGTGGTGGTGGTGAAAGAAGAACATACCTCCAGAAATGACTTCTTTTAATTTACAGTAGGTATTTTGTGTGTGTGTGTGTGATTATTTTTTGTGGATTTCCTTGTTCAAATTCAATTTCAATTCAATTAAACAAAACGATTATATTTATGTAAGACGGTTTTAAAAATGTGATGTATTAAAGCGTAAAATTAAATTTCTATTATCATGAAAATATTATTTTTTTAATCTTGAGTTTATAAATTTATTTTATAAAAATAAGAAATGAGTTCGTTTTCAACATTTTAGAATATACAGTTTTTCTAAAATTCTATGTTATATCTATTTTGATATTTTTGGCTCCAATTGGGTGGCACAAAATCTTGCACAACGTAGTTTAATCGAATTGCCTTCAATTTGATTTTTAACACTTACCTTCTTATAAATATCGATTAAGTATAGGCCTCATATATAAGTTCCGCCTCAGTATAGATATGATAGTCCCATTGTTTGTAAGTCCCTGTTTTGGTATAGAGCCCTATGTAAATGTCCAGATCCATTTGGAATATTTGTAGATCATATCCAAACAGACATGACTGTATTAAGGCTATTTAGAATGTTGTAACAACATTTGTATACCCTTCACCACGCCGTGGTGTTTCCTTTTGCCATGTTTGTAACAGGCAAAAGGAAATGAGATAGACCCATGGTTCCTTTTGAGAATATACATAGAATCAATTTCTAAGCCCGTCCGTCTGTCTGTCCATGACAAGTTTTGTTGAAATCGGTTCAGATTTTGATATAGCTCCCAGTTTCGCCCGATTTTCATTTAATGGTGCACCAAAGACCCACAATATGGCCGATTAGAAGAAAGTTTTGCAAAACGTACTGAAGATTGAGCTACCTACTGTGTGGAAAGTTTCGCTCAAATCGGTCCCATATATAGTTTCGTCCAATTTACCGTTAGTAGTACACCAAAGTCCTAAAATATCGCCGAATAGCACAACATTTTCCTAAACGTGCTGAAGTTAGTATAACCTGTGGAAAGTTTCGCTCAAATGGGTTCAGAATTTGATATAGCTCCCATATATGGTTTCGTCCGATTTTCAGTAAATGGAGCACCAAAAACCCAAAGATAGGCCGATTGCCACAAAATCTTGCACAACCTTCTGATGAAGGTATATGCTAGGGTGTAAAGTCGACAACGTCCTGAAGTAAGTACAGCCTAACGATTTTGTTGAAATCGGTTCGGATTTGGGTATAGCTCCCATATATAATTTCGTGCGATAAGTAAATGATCCACCATGGGCTCAAAATATGACCACCATGCACAAAACATACTTAGAATACAAAACTTAAGTTAGAATAACCTTCAGTTCGGGTTTAGATATAGTATATATATTTTCGTCCTATTTTTTGCAAAACGGACAAAATTGAGAATAGAAAGACGTATTTGCGTTTTGTAGAAATGTATACATATCCATATATTTTTTCGACCATTTTCATGTTAATTTGGCTTCAAATAATAAAGAGATGTCCGATTTGCTTTAATTTTATTTACATTATTTTGTCCCATTATAAACAATTGGTCGAAATGAAAAATTTAGTATAAATTGCAGAGTGACATATTTATGAATTGATCTAAGTCGGTTCACATTTAAATAAAGATCACACATTTTAGTTCATCCAATTAATTCATCTAGTTAATGGTCCTTCAAAAATGCGACGTCTATAATGATGCATCTGTAGAATATACCCAAAGTGGCGAAGGGTATCATATAGTCGTCTCCCTCCGACTTATCAACGTTCCTTACTGGTTGAACTTATGTTGGTTTTGAATTCTGCTTTTGAACTGTCAAATGTACATGACATGGTCCCTATATAATGGTCCTACCCTTAAATGTCCTCTTGAACGTCCCCCATGCAAGTAGGTGATTTCGAATGAATTTGTGGCTATGACACTGTAAACGCCGTATCTAGCAATTGATATTTATAGATTATCCTCCTAGCGAAGAATGTGAACAAATCTCCCAAAATCCTTTTTTCTTGTTAATTAATTACATATAATATTTTTTTACTACATAACATTTATCAACTTTCATTGCTATTTAAAAATCCTAAAACGTGAATTAATTAAATTCTTCTTTTTTTCTTCTCACAAATAATTTTCCTTTTTTTTTTGCATATCGCTCATACATCTCTTGGTTGCGGCGAACTTTATATTTACGTCAACACACAGTGCTGCCATGAAACCATTATCGTTTATGCGATACGGAGTACAGGAAGCCATGACATTGGCACGCAACGATTCCACCCTATCGTCAACATCGAAAACATCCTCTCGCAAGGATAAGAAAAACATTCAAGCATCCAGGTAAGTTGTCGGCTTAGGGTTTTTCATTTGAACTGCAAAGTTGTCATAGCATTGCGAAAAAAAGGTTGGGAGATGGAGGAGGAAAGAGAGACTTTGTGGTACAGACAATGGTTTGATTTATAAGATACAAATCCTACTGAACTGCATGTCATCTTCTTTCACCTAATCTCTAGCGAGAACAATACACGGAGAGACAAATAATCTCTAATAGATGTTGTCCTCTTTTTTTAAATGACTAAAGTTGTTGTCTTTTTAATGTGTGCTGTTTTCTTCTTGGCATTTTTTAAATTTCTTTGTTTTTTGTTCTTCTATGTCTTTTCCCTACATCTCTGTGGTTGTGTTACTGGCTGATTTGTTAAAAACAATTCTTGAAACGTAATCCGCTTGATAATGACTACGACAATACTGATGATGACGATGCTGTTGACAACGCTGATGATGACTTTAATATGAAATGATTACGTTTCTTCTAACAAACCAATGAATATCCCTACAAAAACAATGGGAAATCCTCCGAAACCCCGCAAACGTATATTTGGTTGGCTGTTGCTGTGGAAATTAATAAATACAGATTTACGATATACAAAGTCCACAAGGCATCCAAAAAGAAACGAGAAAAAACCTCAGCGAAAAAGGAAAGAAAGGCAACAAAAACCCTGGCAATTGTTTTGGGTAAGTTAAATATCAAATAAAATAAATAAAGAAATGAGGGTGTAACGAATAAAAGGTTAAAAAGTCAGGTGTAGCTGACAGTTTTATACGATGGCACTGAGTACGAAGGTTTTAAATTTATGGATCACCTAACCCTTAATACTGCATAAAAATCAAACGAAGGGTGTTTTGCAAAAGGCAACAATGCTTAGAAAATGAGGCACATACAGTGAGTGTAATAAGTATTTTGCCTCAATAAAAATTTGAAAATTGGTCCAGATTTAGATATAGCTCCCATATATATTTTCGCCCGATTTAATGTAAAAGGTGCACCAAAGTCGCTATATATCGTCCGATTTTATGTTAATGGTGCTACATTTTTCTAAAGTCCCTATGTAACTTTTGATTTGCACGAAATTTGGCATAACGTACTGAATTGAGCCTAGAGTGATGTATGCCAAGTTCCGTGAAAATTGGTCCAGATTTAGATATAGTTCCCATATATATTTTCTCCCGATTTAATGTAAAAGGTGCACCAAAGTCCATATATATATTTCGATTTGCACGAAATTTGGCATAGTGTCCAGCCTGGAACAATGTCTGCCAAGTTTCGTGAAATGTATGTTGTACAAAATTTCATACTTCAAATCCGACGAATATATATATATATATATATATACAATTTCATATCAATCTGTCAAATATGAGGAGTTTGATGTCCCATTTACTTCAAATCGGACGAATAAATATATATATTTGTTTGAAGTAAATTTACAAGCGGATTTGTAATTCATTATTTTTGAAGAACAGTAAATTAATTTACATTTTTTTAAAAAATTCGAGGTCCTAACTGGATTTTTAAATAATATGTTCTTATGATTAACTATACTCCTGGATTTTTAAATAACATTCATGTGAACTTTTGGTATACAGAATATGTCCACAAAAAATATTAAATTCTCCAAAATTATATACATATTTTTTTTATTTAAAAATTTGTCACATTTAAAAGAATATATATTCCTTTCCAATAGTCCACACAGATGTTGTGGTCAGAAAAACCACACACACAAACAAAAACATTAATCCGAAGGTCTTTTCAACAATTCTCTTTTTGGCCAGCCATTTCTTAACAAAAATCCAATTATATTTATGGGCAAATTATTACCATGGCCCATAGCCAAAGAAAGAAAAATATTTATTTGTTTGTGTGATAACTTTACGTTATGAGTTTTGAAAAAAGATTTCATATTGTTGGATGGATGTTTTGAAACATTTTAGTTGTTCTCGTTTATGATGGCAAGAAAAACTTTGTTTGCGGATTCGTGATTCAAGAGTGACAAAATTCAGTAAACAAAACAATTTATAATTTATATTGGCACTTGCCAAGTGTCTATAGCCGTGGTAGGAATGTGAGGGGTTCAAGGTGTCAACAGGCAATAAAAACACAACCATTGAAGTTAAACAATGCTTTGTTATGCCATGTCATACTTTTGATGGATGTCCTGGATGGGGGAGAGCGTGGTAGGTATGATGGATGTCGGTAGTTTAATTTCCGCCACAAGACAAAGCGACAAAATAGAAAAAAACATGGTTGACTTTATTGCCTATTCACAGCTCGTGGGGCAATCATTCATGTCTACCGTCATAACCATTTGTTAAACTTTGACCAGTGGTCCCAGTATTTTTGTGGTGTGCATTCTATGTCACTCAATGTGATAGGAATTACTGTAATAATATTTAAAAATCCACATTTCTGTTGGTCGAATCAAATTTAAAACAATGTCATGCTTCTAGTTTTTCTGTCTATAAAAAAACAGAAAAGTCTCTAGAAGACATTGCCCTGAGTAAGTCCTTAGTTGGCTACTCTTTATATTTCTGTCATAATAAAGCACATGCGAATATTTGTTATAGAAATGGTTTTATTACTTTTAGAAATATTCTCCATCATTTAATCATATACAATGAACTCAAATAATTTTCTAATTACTCCCACAAAGGCTGCTGGCGAAGAAAATCGTTAACCCGTCATTTTTTATGTAGAAGTTGACTTTAGAATGCTCACGCTATCGTTATATAAGATTCGATTTGTTTAGTTGATTTCTCGAATGATTTTTTGCAAAAAAAATGTACGACGGATGGCCCATAAAACTCAGCGTTGGCGCGGGTTTGAGCCGATGTGTGATTCACCTTATATTGTTCGTTTTTTTTTTTAATTCCTTCGAAGACTGCAGCCCAACGAATTATGGTGTACCACTCAGAATAAACGCTGTTGAATCGATATATACCAGTTTTCTAAAAAAAAAACAGGTTGTTATTTGTTTCCACGACCCACACTATCGGTTAATTTTGTGTTTCCTTCTTTTGAAGCATCAAGATATTTTTTCCAAAATTTCCAAATCTACTATTATAGAGTTGACACCTAAATACAATTATTTAAAATATCTGCCATTATAGTTGGTTAATAAAATCCAAGAAAATATTCTCTACAAATCCACGCTTATAATTAGACTTACAATTGAGCCACAGAAAATATTCTCTACAAATCCACGCTTATAATTAGACTTATAATTGAGCCACAGAAAATATTCCTTAAAAAATCCACGCTTATAATTAGGCCATCGAAAATATTATTTAAAATTCACGATTATTAAAAATATTCTTTAATTAAAAATATTCTTTAAAATTTCCACGCTTATATAGATCCTCTGCAAAGTATTCTTTAAATAACCACGCCTATATGGATCATCTTTAAAATATTCTTTAAATAACCACGCGTATAGGGTTCCTCTGTACAATATTCTTTAAAACCAGTAAGGAAAGCAGTAAAGTCGGACGGGGCCGACTATATGACCACCACTTTGGGTATATTCAAGTTATGAATCCTAACACACGTCGCTTTTTTAAAGTACCAGTAAAATGAAATTGGACCCATAAACATGTCATTCTGCAACCTATACTAAATTTTTCATTTGGTCAGGTGTAGAGTTGCTTCTTACAATGGGACAAAATTATGTAAATCAATTTAAAGCAAATATCGATCGGACACCCGTTGATTTTTTGGATATATATCTGATATAAATGAGGAGTTTGGTGCACCTATATCTAAATCTGCACCGATTTCAATGAGACGTTCCAGATATAAATTTATATTAACCAAAGATTAATTTATATTAACTTCATTGTACAAAATTGTGCGGCAATTGGACAAACTTTGGGTCTTTAGTGCACAATTTACATTACATCGGAAGAAAAATTATATAGGAGTTATATCTAAATTTGTACCGATTTCCACGACACTTAGCACACATCATTTTAGACTTAATTTAGTACGTCATGACCAATTTTCTGCAAATCGAAAAATATATAGGGACTTTGGTACACCATTTACCTTAAATCGGACAAAAATCTATATGGGAGCTATATCTAAATCTGAACCGATTTTTAGGAAACTTAACACATTTCATTCTAGACGTAATACATTATGTTGTACCAAATTTCGTGCAAATCGAAAGATATGTTGGGTCTTTGGTACACCATTTACCTTAAATCGGACAAAAATATATATGGGAGCTATAACTAAGTCTGAACTGATTAAGGAAACTTAACAAACTTCATTCTAGACGTAATTCATTATGATGTGCCAAATTTCGTGCAAATCGAAAATATGTAGGGTCTTAAATCGGACAAAAATATATGGGAGCTATAACTAATTCTGAACCGATTTTCAGGAAACTTACTACATATCATTTTAGGCCTAATTCATTACTTTGTGGAAAATTTCGTGCAAATCAAAAGATATATAGAGACTTTGGTACACCATTTACCTTAAATCGGACGAAAATATATCTGGGAGCTATATCTAAATCTGAACCGATTTTTCCCAATTTCAATAGGGTTCGTCTTTGGATCACAAATGCGAATGTTTACAATTTACAAATTTTTAACCTGATCAAGAATATATACTTTATAGGTTCTGAAATGAATATTTCGATGAATTACAAACGGAATGAAAAAAAATCCACGCCTTTGGTGGCCCTTAGAACATATCATTTAAAAAAATCCACGCCTTTGGTGGCCCTTAGAACATATCATTTAAAAAATCCACGCCTTTGGCGGTCCTTAGAACATATCATTTAAAAAATCCACGCCTTTTGTGGTCCTTGCAACATATCATTTAAAAAATCCTCGCCTTTGGTAGTCCTTAGAACATATCATTTAAAAAATCCACGCCTTTGGTGGTCCATAGAACATATCACCATAGAATATACCTTGCCTTGGAAGATATTATCTTCTGTTTCATAAAAATATGATTTTTTACATCCATTCTCATTTTATGATCCTTAGGAAATTGTATTTATAAATGTACGTTTTTATGTGGTTCTTACAAAATATTAATTTTCCATTTGTTCTCAATTCCTTTTAGGTGTTTTCCTCTTCTGTTGGCTGCCATTTTTCTCCTGCAACATTTTGGATGCAATGTGTTCGAAATTCGACAAAGATTGTAATCCCGGCGTGACGGCATTCATTTTCACCACCTGGTTGGGTTACATAAATAGTTTTGTAAATCCCATTATTTATACGATATTCAATCCTGAATTTCGTAAAGCATTCAAAAAGATTATGCATATAGGGTGATTAAAATTACAGGCGATGGACGGAGCTCTATGGAGACAAGGAGAAGAAAAACATTTCAACAACAACTATAACTGCTGCATCAACCAAAGGAATTATGAGGATATAGATCATTATGACCACCATCATATCACAATGATGAAAATTATTACGACCATCTTATTACACTAAGGTATCTGATCTTTATTTAGTAAAAATTGCCATATTTCAGTTTTATTTTCTTTCCTATTATATTTTCATGGGTATTCATTTGCCCCAAAGAAAAACATGAAAATAACAAAGAAACCAAACAAATAATCACATCACAAATGAACAACAAAAACATGAACAAATAGAAGAAAATTAAACCAAATATGATAGTAGTAAAACATGCAAAAGGTGTACATATAATTTCTAAAATTAGTGTATCATGATTGCATTTACTTAGATTTTTGTATAGGCTGAACGTTTGTCCGGATGGCGGGTGATATGAAGGGTGTGGGTGGGTGATGTCTTTGCCATAAGGTATTATGCCAAAGCCAAAATTATACAATGAAATGAAAGTCAAACATATACACACACATCCAACATGTCTTTCCGACCACACATAGGACAAAGCGGAAGGGGGAATAGGTGGTGGAGTAGTAGTCGAATGTATGTCGAAGTCATCCAATAGACATAGACAAGGTATTTGTGCCAAACGAGAAGAACAAGAAGACGAAACAGAATGTAATGTTCAAAATATAAATCATTTCTAGATAACATACACAAAGTAAAGATATTGGAATCTTTTATTGTAAGTATATTTGTAACTAAGTAGCATAAATGTAATAACTAGGTATATCATACACACAACATACCAACATATTACATATAAATACATACATACATATATATCGAGAGAGAACGAAGAAGAAGAACAAAATCAATAGATTTAGCAAAATAAAATTGTATAGCAATATTACAACAGAAACAAATACATACTCAATATTTCGTATTCGTATTATTATTATTACGTACTTATGTTCTAGTTAGCAAGAAATAACTACACAACAACAACAACAACTACAGCAATAACAATATGTTATGCAATTTTGTCGTTTTATTGTTGATTGCATTGAATCAATTTTGTGTGTTCGTTTCGTTATTAAATCATCGATACACCATGTAAGGATAGATGATTGTTTGGTTGTACATGGCAACGTATGATTAATGTCTCTTGACTTTTACAAAACTTCATTATGTTCCGCATACGCCCAGGTGTCCCAAGGGGACCAAAGGTATTGAGGTACGATTTCTTATTTCATATGAAGAAAAAAAATTTCTCAGATTGAATAATATTACATGGAATTTATGTAAGGAGGTCTATTTTAATATGATTTTCTTGGAAATGAAATTATTGTTAAGGAAAAAACAACTTGTTGCAAAAGTAGAAAACCTACAAAAATTGCCTTAGGAAGGGAAATTAAGTTGCTACTTACTTTGTTATGAATCCTATTTATCATATATTTATGATTTACAGGTGATTCTACATAGAACCAGCTGTCAGATTTTGGTTATTAATCAACAGAATATTTTTGATAGAAGACCTTTGGGTAGTTGCAAAACTGATTAATTTTATTTCATATTCCCATGTGAAAATTTTATTTATGAGGGAAACAAAAACAAAACTATGCTTATTTTGGAAGTATTAGAAAGTAATATAGAAAGTAATATTGTGATTATTTTCGGGAAATTCCAAAAAATAATTTAAGATAGAGAAGCTAAAAATAGAAGAAACGTGTCTTGGCATTTTGAGAATTTACGTCGGGTGGTAACTGAAAAATGCGTAGCTATATTTCCCATTCCCAAGACATTTTAAAATATTCGAAACATAGATCCACATTGATAATTTTTGGCGGGGAAATTTTTACCTAATGAGAATGCAAAATATCACTATTTTTAGCACTTTTATTTGACACATTTTGAAATTTTTAGCACTTTCTGGAACTTTTTAAAAAGAAAATTTACATCGGGTGGTAACTGAAAAATGCGTCTCAATATTCCCCATTCCCAAGACATTTTAAAATATTCGAAACATAGACCCATATTGATAATTTTTGGCAGGGAAATTTTTACCTAACGAGAATGCAAAATATCACTATTTTTAACACATTTATTTGACACATTTTGAAATTTTTAGCACTTTCTGGAACATTTTAAAAACTAGCATTATATATCAACACTGTTGGCAGTATTATTATACTAAAGTAAATATGAGGAATATTTTTAGACCAAAACTCGAAAATCAGCCTTAAATTATGAAAACTCATTTAGGGTTAAAATCAATCTTATTCCGAGTTTGTTCCAATTATTTCAACCAGATGTCGTTTTACAAGGATGGTATAAGGGACAAAAATATTCTCTATCAATGTTTAGTGTATGTCTAGATTTAGTTTAAAATAGGCTTACAAGTGCTAAAAATATATTTAAATAAATTTGTTTATAATGAGGTAAACTGAAAAAATATGCTTATACTTAAATACGAATGGGGAATTGAAATTGACAGCTTTGTTGTGAGGGTTTTGTGGTTCAAAAGTTTGTAACGTTGCGAAATATTGGTCCTGGACCCACAGTTTAATATAACATCATCATATCTTGACTGGCAGAGTATATATAATGTTCACAGGGTTTTAATATTCTAATATTGTTTAGAAATATTATTTTCACACCGGGAGGTAAATATCTCGCAGAATTTTTTACCGAATCTCAACAACTCTTGAAGATATAGCCGATTTATTTTGTCCGCATCAATTGCCGGCTGGAGTGCTTCTCAAAACATTAAACGGTGTCTTTACGAATGGCGGGCACGATAACTCAAGAACTAATAATCCAATCGTACCAAATTTTGACACGTAACTGTAATTAATATCTTCTTTATAATTTAATTTAGTTTGTAGCAAAAAAAAATCTTTTTTCAAACATACCCTAGTTTGTTTGAAAAATGAGCGAAGCCAGTAATCAAAGTTCATACGAGAGCCAAACATGTACTCTTTGTAACATCGTTGGAATTTCGGATTCCAATGTTTCAGTGAGGAGTTATAATGCCCGCCATCAAAAATAAGGAATTTTCTTTAATCACAGTAAATCAACAACAACAAGATAAACAATTTAATTGTTTTTCTTTTCTTTTAAATCTTCAAATATGTATGTGCATAGTTACAAATCTTAACAAGCATTGGTATTCATTTACAGCCCATTGAAAATGAAGAAATTTTAAAATCCTGAACGAAAATTTTATATCGTTTTTCGTGCATAACATCAAATAATGAAATATTCTACGTAAAATTTCAAATGTGAGTAAAATCGACCTTAAGAATGGAAGCTTAATAAAATGTATAATAATTTAAACTTTCTTTACCCCTCACCATATCGATAACGCGTCAACTTTCGGAATAAGTTAATCTCCAGATGCAAAAAAAAAAAAAATTGGTACTAGAAGGAATGCGTTATACAATTTGGAGTCGATTTACCAATGTCTGTCCTTTGTGTGTCGGTCTAAATGGCTGATGCGCACGATATTTCTAGATGGGAGTAAGCGGCTTCTTATAAAACTTTGTACATCTTAATTTTCCTTCCAAACTTGTTTATGTTCGAAAGATGGATAATGTAGATTTATTCCTTCTCCTGGCTCCCACACAAAATGGTAAACATTTTACTGAAAATTTTTCTGTAAAATTATACGAACGAACTATTTTCGAACCAAAATGGGACTTATCGTCGCATTCCATTTAAACTTAAATCATTTTCGAAGATATGACCCATCGGTCCCCTGCTTCTGGTAGCTCCCATCCATGACCCCACGTATGACCTCTGAATGGATAATCGCTTAGTTTACATTACTATGAATAGTAAATAATTTATATAACAAAAATATTTAAAGAGAAATTTAAAGAGCTTCAATAAAGCACTTCATATACATAAATGAAAACCAGTGAGCGGAGCAGTATAGTCGGACGGGGCCGACCATATGATACCCTACACAACTTCCATAACTATATAACTATAACTTTCTGTGATTCTATATTCTGAGCTTGGGCAATATTTCACGATATTTGCACCCTCTTGACCGACAAATATTACAAATATTCAGTACAGCCCTTCTAATCACTTGTCCAGATTCCCTTCACCATGCGTTGTGTTGTGATGTTCGGCTTTCAATTTTGGCCTATAGATCGACTCGAAAAAAAAACCAACAAATATGTTTTCGGTCCACTTCATCCCAAAAATTATAAGCGTTGTCGGTGACCATAACTTCAACCTCATGGAAAATTTCAAAGCGATCAGCGCTATATTTCCGCCATCTTGTGTGGTAATGGGTTACTAAATAATATATGAATACTTAAGCACCTGTAAATATTTACGTGTAAATCCCACATCCGAGGACATACGACAATATAATTGGTATCAATTTGAAGGTCAAACACTACTCTTGAACATACTATCAACTTCTCGGGTCTAGGACCTTCAGGTGCAAATATATACCCCATAGAATACAAATTGTGTATTTTTTCACACAACAGTCAGGGTCCATTTGACCCGCTAAATATTGACCGATCTTTACCAAAACAGGCATACTTATTTTTTTCCCGATCCCCTTCGCCATGAAAAATTCGCGGTGTTTGGGCCATAATTGTGGCAAACCGACAAAAACAATGTTTTTGGTTCATTTCATCCTCTAAATATTAACCGATCTCTTCCAAAAACAATAGGGGTCTTCAATGGCCAGAACCCATGCAAAATTTCGTGAAGATTGGTCCATAATTGTGGCCTGTATCGTGTTTACAAATTATAATGAACAGACGGACGGACGGGCACACATGTCTAGATCGACTCAGCTAGTCGAGATATGACGATCGGTATACTTAAAGGTGGGTCTAGGACCAATATTTCGCGGCGTTACAAACATTTGGGGCTGCACAAAGCTATAATACCCTGACAACATAGTTGTGTAGGGTATAAATATTGAGTTTTTGTATGTCTCCAGAAACTATAAAA